CATTTTCCATTCTTCGATTACTAAAACCGAGCTAATCATTTTTAGCTGTAAATCAGTTTTAGATAGACTGTATATATTCGCATTGATATACAAAATCTAATGCGTATAGAATATATGAACGGAAAACAAGATATAGATCCAATGATACAATCAAACACATAATAACATTTGGTATATATATTTTAATATAAACTATATACACAAATATTCTCATTTAAAAATAGTTTCTATGAAAGAGTACACATAGAATATATGGACACATAGAATAAGACTATATAAAAACATTGAATTCGTCTAAGCATACTCGTGAAATATATTTTCTTGATATATGTATTTGGTTAGAGTTACAAAGTTAGTGATTCTAATATATACAAAGATTCTCGACTTGAAGTACTTCCAATAAACGGGGACGCAGATAGTGAATGAAAATAATGTTTGTTGGATGTACATTCTCATAAACTTTATAAGAGGTATTCATTCAGATTCTTAACAAACAATATACCCCTCGATATCCATATTAACTATCTATAGGCATATTATTATAGCTTATCTATATCGTTATCCATTTGAAATCAGTTTGTAGTTCATTATGTTTCCATTCGTCTTGCGTCCAATGTGACTCAATTGGGACTCTTCTGCTGCTGCTGCAGTAGGTCGTGCCAGAGGCGAAAGCAGGGATTCAGGCAGAGACCCGGCATATCCGGGCAGAGCTTGCACATGTACCGGGTGAACTGCAGCATGCCTCCCTTGTGGCAATGCCTGCAGTTCTTGCGCGTTGGCTTCCCATTTCGCTGAATGAGTATCAATTCGTGCTTCGGTTCAGGTTCGGGCTCGGGCTGCGCCGTTGATGCTGCTGATCCCCGCTGGTGGGTGGATCTCTTCGAATTTGATTGCTCTTGTCGCTTGCTGCTCGAATTCGGGGTGCTCGGTGACGCGGGAGTTGCGGCAGCAGCCGGCGTCGCCTGATCCTCCTTTAGCAGGGACTTAATAATGCTCGTCCGGAACTCGGCGTAGCTCTTCAATTTGGTGGCATCAAAGCCGCGCGTCGGCTGCGCATTGCCCACGTAGAGCACGTGTGCATTGAAAACCAGCAGATTGAGCAGGAAGATGGCCAGCTGCTGCTGCTGCTGCAGACCCGCGCAGCTCGGCTGGCAGCTGATTAGCTGTTGGCGCGTGGACTGAGCAGTGGGTCGTAGCTGGAAGTCCAGCTCTTGTATGAGCTTTGGTCGGGCGTTTATCTTCTGCATGGACATCTCCTTGGCGTAGATGGCCAGGCAGTCGGAACTGTAGAAATAGACGCACTTCTCCCGGCGCCGCCGCCACTTGGCCATCATGAGGGGCGTTGCATATCTGGTAGCGATGCTATTGGGCGACAGCTGCTGGTAGATGAGCGCCTTGCTGTTCCCGTAGCGATTTCGGTCCAGCAGCCCGCTGCAGTAAGTGCCAAGCTTGGCCAGCTCGTGCGCCAGTCCATAGCTGCCGTAATACTTGCACGCATAGACGCTGTGGCCGCGCTGCACATGCGACTGGAGCAGCTGCAGCACCACCTCGCAGCGATGGGCCACCAGCTGCCGGGAATTGCGCGCCAGCTGTCGCTGCGGGTCCATGCGTTCCGGCAGCATGCGTATGATCAGGCCGTTCTGCTCGCTCAGCAGGTGCAGCGTGAGTGCATTGTTGCGCTGCTTCAGCGGCAGCTCGTTATGGTAACTGAATCGCCCCTTCCATTGGACAATGGGCTCGTTGAGCACCAACTGCTGCCCGCTCGCATATAGCTCCGCCATGCGCGTATTGTAGAAGCTTATCAGCTTGCCCGCATCTCCGGCGGCTGTGTTTTCCATTGTGCCCGCTCCTGGCAGCATGGCGAAGCTGAGTGAGTGCAGCAGATCCAGATAGCGCTGCTGCCCCATTTTTGACGTGAATCCCGAGAATCCTTGAAATGTGTGCTCGCTCCAATAGTCGCTCAGCTGGGGCAGTTTCATATCACACATCAGCAAGCTGAGCCCCACAAATGTTTCCAGTTCCTCGGCGCTGGCCTTTAGTGTGGCATTACGTCCATTGCAGCCACCCGCCAGCTGGCCAAAGAACTCGACCCGATTGCCCAGCAGCTGGTTGAAGTAGTACAAGGGGCAGGTCAGCTTCCTCAGTGCCTTGAGCCCCGTTTGCCCAGGTTGCGCGTAGAACTTAAATATCAGTCGGGGCGTCGTTTGCGTTGCCGTCCACTCCGGATCATAGTCGTCAACTTCATCTAAAGCGAGATCGAGCAGTAGAAGTTAGCATTAGAGAGACATGATATAGTCTATATTTGCCGAGCACAATCAAATCAAAATGTAAATACTAATTTAATTTCCAATACCCATGTCTATTGAGATAGATTGGAAATGTAATTCTATGTAAACGAGGTCAATTTGACAAATTAAAATAGAAATAATAAATCTTATGGGTAAAGGATTTATATCTATCTATTAAGCTTTGATGAATTTCCAGGCTAAAAAAATGTTAGATTATCCTATACTTATTATTCCTATACTTATTTTCAAATTGAGAATAATAGACAAAATAGTTCTCAAATACAAGCGTAGTCGTATTATCTCCGAAATGTTTTAATATGCCCTCGTAAATAACAGCTGAGCAGAAACTAAATTTTCAAATTAACAACTCCGATTTGTTTGATTTTCAAATTATAACCCTACTTATCTTATCACTGACCGCCTATATGATTTCATATTAAATCCGATTTTATGATAAATACATATGTATATAAATAGGTATATACATATTTATATAATAATTTATTTATCATAAAATCACATTTTGAGCCCAGCCATAGAAATTGCTAGTTTTGAGTACTTTTCGTGATATCCAAATATTGTTATTTGTACAATCTTTACCATCACAAAAAACATCGTGCGCTGCACTAAAATTAATTTCCGAATAACCATCTTCGTCTGAATCACTCTGCTGCTCCAACTCTGGTTTTTCATCCTCAACTAAGGATGGCACAACTGCTGATGTTGCTGCTGCGGCGGCAGCTGCTGTCACTTCATTTTGACTTGCCACTGCGAGTTGCAGCTGGAGCTCGGTCAGGTCGGGTTTTATATCCACACAGTCATAGTCGGCCAGGGGATAGACGCTGGTAAGCAGCGGTTCCGTTTTAACGTCTAAACTTTGCCGTTTCACCGGCGAACGGTGCACGTCTTGACGCGGCTTTAGCTGCTGTTTACGTTTCCGTCCCGATGTTGACATTTTGCTTTAATAATTTATCTTTATTTGTGATTTATTGTGTGGAATTTTCTGCTCGAAATAAGCGCGTGTCTGTCTTGGCAGCTCTTTCGTTGGGCATTTGTTGTACATAGTGTGTGCTCTTTCGCACCCATTGTTAACCGGGGTGAGCTCTTTCGCACCAGTTGCCACCATCTGCATATTTGCTGCTCTGTCTTGCGCGCGGTCATGTTTAGAACGGCGATGCCAACGTGCTCAAAGTTGTTGCTCAGTTGAAAGAAAGTGTAGCGATGAGGGTACCTACACGATTAATTTAATGTATCGATATATTTGTAAGTT